ATTTTTCATTGATATGAAGTACTACTTTTTTAACTTTAAGGCTGTCAGTCACAATTAAGTGTTATGAAATTTTAATGCGAACATCATTGTTTCAATGCCTATATAGACTGACTGACTGATTTCTTTTTATTTCAGAGAGGACCATGTGACATACCAGCCAACTGTTTTATTCAAGAGGACCAGGCATCACAAGGGATCCATCTACTGCATGGCATGGTCGCCCGTGGGTGACTTGATGGCCACAGGATCAAATGACAAAACAGTAAAGCTAATGCGTTTCAATGCAGACACCTCGAACCTTGAAGGTAAATGAAATGTTCTCTATTTTGTGCTTTGTACCTATCAAGGCTTCTTTCACATGCTTAATTTCCCCCTTTTTTTTCTTTTTTTTTAATTTAGGACAAGAAATAGAGTTGTCAATGCATGATGGGACAGTACGTGATGTCTGTTTCCTGGAAGATACAAGTAATAAGTCAAGTCTTTTGATTAGTGGTGGTGCAGGTGATTGCAAAATTTATGTTACTGACTGTGCCACTGGTCAACCATACCAGGCTCTCAGCGGTCACTCAGGTAATTATGTCTACCTATTTCTAGTTGTTCTTTTTTAATACACACTTATTTCACAACACAAATTTGTATGAATGGATCGATGCCCTATAATTTTTCATTTACATATATGCTTTTTGAAACTTAGGTCACATTTTGTCTTTATACAACTGGGGTGGTGCCATGTTTGTGAGTGGATCTCAAGATAAAACAGTCCGGTTTTGGGATTTGCGCACTAGAGGTTGTGTTGATATGGTTACTCCTCAGACTCAACCAGGAAACAGGGTAAGAAATTTTTTCCTGTTTCCCTAAACTGTAGTAAAAAAAATTGAAATTGCTGTTAATCAACCATATTTATGAATGTGTTGTTTACTTCATTTTCAGATGGGTTCTCCAGTTGCTGGTATTTGTATGGACCCATCTGGTCGCCTTTTGGTTTCTGGTCATGAGGATGCATCATGTGTTTTGTATGATGTTCGAGGAGGTCGAACTGTCCAATGCTTCAAGCCACATGCTTCAGATATTCGTTCTATTAGGTTCTCCCCCAGTGCTTATTACCTCCTCACTGCTGGATATGACAATAAGCTTGTTCTTACCGACCTGCAAGGTATGGCCTCATTGGAAACTTTCTTCATTTTTTTAATGATATGCGTCAACCTAATTTTCATTTTGCATCTTCTTGTTTCTAGGTGACTTGACCATGCCTTTACCAAGTGTGGTTGTTGCGCAGCATGCTGATAAAGTCATTTCAGGTCGATGGCATCCAACTGAATTTTCATTCTTAAGCACTAGCGCTGATAAAACAGCTACACTTTGGGCGTTGCCTCCTGTGTAATATATATTTTCTTTTCGTTAAAAATGTTAATGCTATTTCCTTGCAAACGTTCAAATGAAAGTTCAACTTAACTCTGTAAATAGAGAATAAGTAATTTATATCAATCAAGTGTCTGATGGGGACATTGGAAGTAGGAAAAAAAGTACCTTCCCATTACATTCCATTAGGCAAACAGCTTTGTTAAGTTTTCTTACAATTGTTTGAAATGTTTATTATAAAATGCTTTGCTGACATTATTTTGTGATTGACAAATTTTTTTATCCAACAAACATCAAAGATTGAAAGTTACTTAGTTACTAATATTCATGTTTTCTTTTTGACAATTTTTAAAAACTATTGCTCTGTACTTTTATTTTGAGTACTAGGCTGTGAGATGGCCTTAGCTTTATGAGGAACAGTTTCCTCATATTAGTCTTTCTTCTCTCTCATTCTATGTTGTGCTAGTTAATTTTTGCTTTGTTAAAATCTCTCAACATGAACATTTGTTTGTTTGTTCTGTAGTCTAATCTTTGTGCCTTGGCCTTGACCGGACCAGTGATAAAAGGCATCTTGTTGTCAGTAAATTATTTATCTCAGGTGTACTTCAGTATCCAGACATAGCTTTCAGTTCAGCCAATGCTTATTTTAAGAGCAAACTTTTGAACCTAAAAATAATATCTTACAAAACAAATTCTGTAAAATTTTAACATAGCAAAGTGATGACCAATTATACTACAATACATTTTAAAAATAATTCAGTAAGTAAGGCTGTTCTAGGATTCTTTACCAAACGATTTCACTCTTGCACAGTTCAGCTAAAACTTCCTGTACAGGTTATGATAGGGACTACAACAGAATCACTCATTAATTTCTCCGTAGAGTAGACAAATTTAATCCATTGCCAACATACCTGTTGTATATTTTTTTCCCCCTTAATGACTCAAGATCTGTTTCTAATTTAGTCGATACTAACTGCTAATTATACCAAATACCAATATGGCCATAAAATTTATGGCCCCAGCCTCAAGATATGATCTAAGTTGCTTTGTTAAGTATACAGATTGTGTAAAGTGATATTTTGTTATGCAATTGAGTGGAACACATTTATAGCTGTACCAAGTGGAATCGCTGACCGACTGACATACAGTGACATAAGTTTTTGCAGCTTTTCTATTCCGTCATTTAAGACAAATAGCTCTCTATTAGAAATGTTTGACTGCTCTTAATTATATTAAAGATTCTTTTAATCAAGCCCCAAATGGGATACAACTTCTGTTAAAATCCACTTAGAGGGACTATTTTAAGTGTCTGGAAATGTTGGTATTTTCTTGTGTTGCCTCACACAGAAAATTGTAGTCAAATCATTGGTTTGTAAACAAAGAGAATAAATCTATGCTAGTTTCACCATGTACCTACTATGTGGTTAAATCTCAAAGCTTCAACATCAGCAGCTTGTAGTTTCTGTTTGAAACAAGAGATATTTGAAAATAAGTTTTCCTGTTATTGTAAATATTGTACAATTATTAATATTGCGAAGATTCTATGCCATGTTTTTGTTAGTGATTATTATGAATGAGGAATAACTGGGCTATTTTGGCATTCACAAATATTAGCCTGTCTGCAACTTTACCTGCTACTACTACATTCAGTCTGATTTAGGAGTCAGGAGTCAACTTTTAATGCAAAATTCAGATATATACTCATCTGTGTATTCAGTAAATGGCTTTGGATTCGAAAAATTAAAAAAATCGTTATAACAAAAACTGTTTTCAAAGACCTCTTTTACCCAATTCACTTCAATCAGTTTCAATGTACATAAAAACATAACATTAATGGCATCAGTACTCCTAATATCTCAGTTAGGAGTAAGAAAGAAAATATATACATGTACAAAAAAAATAAATAAATATATAACTAGGCATAGTTACGGAGTTGGTAGGTATTTTTCCTTAGGCTGTAACATGTTCTCAACAATTGAGTCCATGGCCCATTTTTCAGTGACTGGGATAGTTCCTGGTAATACATCAGCAGGACGTATAGGAGTGATGATAACAGTTCCTCTTCTTTGAGTTGAGACAATTTTAGCTCCACACAGCTTGAGTAGGTCCTTCAAATGTGAACGTGGTGGTCTTGTGTTAGGGGCAACATAATATGTGTCACCATTCTTGAATATACTACACTTGGTCCCAAATGTTTCTTTAGCAATTCGACATTGCTAGAAATGAATTAAAAGTGTCACATTAAAATATTAACCTATCCAACAGCTGCCTGGAAAACTAGTCTTGTAATTTTTGATTTAAAGTGAAATGGAATCTTACTCGAATGCCTGGAAATGCCTTCACCTCAAATGGTTCTTCTTGAAGCCACTGTCCAGCCAGAACAGACTGCCTAATCTAAAGCAATCATACAAGAAACAAAAACCTTCTGAAATGATCAGAATGAAATTGACAGATACCAAGTAACAAAAAAAATTACAAAAAACTGTCATAGCTTTCACAAATATCAAATATATAATTTTGACATTTTGTGACCTACAAATTGTCACTTTGGGGTGAACTAGCAGAAGCAAAAATAGAAGGCACTTCACCTCAGGAAAGCTGCTTATTGTTAAAAGAAATTTCATGCATTCAACATTACCCAATCATAATTTAAAATCCAGCATCCATGGGCAATAGCTTTGAGTAGGTTAACTGTACGCTTTTCATCACCACAGATGACATGGGTAGTTTGAGAGGAGACTTTCTGCTCCATCTCCCATCCGCCAAGTTTAGCAATAGCCTCCGAAACAAATGCAGAATCCCTACAAATATTACAGATAATAATAATATCACTGGAGATGACGCAAATCCATTATTTAATACCAATTTGTTTTATATTATCTTACTCTCGATGCATTCTAGTGCAAACCATGGTGCGCTTTCTAGCTTGGGCTTGGGACCTGATGCTGGGACCAATTTTTAGAGAAGTAGCTTTTCTCTCAAAAATATTACGAGGATTAATTCTTTTTTTCGAGCGACGTTTTATTGCATCTGAGCCACTTTGCTTGGATGAAGCGACCTGCTTTTGAATAGTAGTTTGAGTTCTCCGCCTGGATCTTTTGGGGGTAGTTTTAGTTTCATCGCGATAGGGACAGGAAACTTTCTCTGAAAAGAAAAATAAACAATTAAAGACTCCCTAGAAAAAGTAGCAAGAAGTATTGGTTAGCTGATCAAAATACGGAATTTGTCTCATAGCGAAAGTTTATTGGTATAGGCCTTACCTGCAGCAGTGTCGTCTAAGTCGACAAACGTCGTCGTGGTATCATCATCTAGAATGGTACAATCACCTGTACGCCGTAAGGGCATCAATTTTCTTTTGGGGGTCTTTTTGACATCCATTTCACTACTGCACTAAACGCTAAGAGATAACACACGTACAAGATCCGCTGAGTGTAAGACGGTAAACGGTCCGATATTGTTTGAATTCTGACTCTGCTGCCTATATAAAAACAAAAGAGTGCAGTGTCATGGTAGAGAGCATGCGCTTTGCCCTCCTTGCAACCAGAAGTGTTCTTTCGCCAAACTCACCTTATCGTTGAGCCACAGATCAGACAAAAATTACGACTGCTGAGACAAGGTTTGCTGAGAGGTATGTACGGTATTGTGTGTCTGTCCTATGCGCCCTTCGTGCTGTTAGCAGGGCGGAAGGCAACCACCCTCGTGGACCCTGCTTGGCCAATCCCAGAGAGCAATGAAATGTCAGACCGATATCAAAACGACGTCAGACATCAGAAATTTGTCGATTTTCGCATCAGATTGATATAAATGTGGCCCTGAAATTGACACGTTTCACGTTTCTGATTATCTGATATCGTTCCGACATCTGTCTGACTTTTCATTGGTCCCTGGGAAGCAACAGAGCGACGAAACAGCCCGTGATGAGCACGTCCCTACTTGTGGCCACATTGTGGCCACAAATAGTGACCTCCCGCACGTTGCGTTCGCGTTCTCGCGTTCTCGCGTTCTCGTTCGCGACCGCGGCGCGGTGGCGCTACCGGCGCTACCCCGCGGGCGGCAGGCAGGCCGGGGTAGCGCTGCCGTCGGCGTCGCCACTTGACGGGAGACACCTCGAACAGGAAGGCAGCCGAGGCCGCTGCTTTTCTCCGGCTCCGGCTGCGCCGACACTGCTGGCTGATCTCTTTACCGAACGGGTGGCGGGAGTGAGGGGAGAGCGAGAGGGGGGAGGGGGGGTAGGAGAGGGAGAATATGATGCTGATATATTATTCACACATGGAAAACAGAAGCGGCCGCCGTATAGTATTCACAGCCCAAAGCGAGGAATGGGGGAAAAGCAGGGGGGTGGGGCGAAACCCTCCGGCATCCGGTCCAGCGTGGGCGGAGCGGTCGTGAACGGACGCATCAAATATCAAATAAAACAAAGCGCGTGACACTACCCACTCACCTGGAAGTGTGTGCTAGAATGTCACACACATCTTGCATTCACGCACAAAAAACAACAACAACAAAAAAACACAGTTTTTTGGAGTGAGAGAGGGGCGGGGATCAAGGGGTTGTTTAAAGAGAAAAGGGCGACCGAACTGGGCCAGGGCCAGGGAGGGGGATGGGGTGGTGTAGACACGGTTTTTACTCTCCCCTCGAATGAGGCGGAGCGGCGATCAGCCTAAAACGCTCGCCGGCTCTTCTACCCGGAGCGGCGGTACTTTTTACCGCTTTTTTGTTGTGGCCCCGTATAACACAGGTGTGTAAGCGGAGGCAGGGGCCCATAGCGCCCAGCCCCACCATGCCCCGCCCAGGGTCCCTGTCAGGTCTGTCAGAACAGGGGTGTGAGGCGAGAGCCCCCCCCCCCCTGCCCCCGCTGCCTCACCGGTGGCAGCATTTCCCATACCGCCGCCCCTCTCTCTCCCTCACTTATACATGGCCTGCCCCACGACCCGTGAATGCACATACGCCCCACCCCCACCCCGCGCGCCTGCGTACGTTACCCGATTAAAATCGGACGCAAACGCGATCAAAACAACAACAACAACAACAGCGACAGCAACAGCAGCAGCGCCGCTCAGCGGTCACGCCCTTTTCCGGTTCCGCCGGGCCTAACGAACTGCAGCAGCGCCGGTGTGGCCGGCCACACTGTGCGCAGCAGGGACGTGGCAGTCGATCACGAGGTAGGCTTCTTTGGAGGAGGGGAGCCGGCGGTTTGTATTTCCCGCCGAGGGTTCGTCCAGGAAGTATACGTCCGTTTTCCTCAGATCCAGACAGTCGGCCGAACTGGGCGCCTGCAAGACTCGGGGTAGGCCAGCCAGCAGTGCACGCATGCGCTGCAAGCGAGATGTTGCCTACCGACCAGGCGCTACGGTAGCTTCCAGAGGAGGGTGGCCCGTTCCCTCGAAACACAGTACCTGGAAAGCGTCGATTACCTCTACTGTCAATTACCTCGAGAACTGTTACCCCTAAAAATGTATTTATGATACCAGAACATGTAGCGTGGCAGCGTGTGCAGCCTCACGTCACAGAACAATCAAAATATCCGGTCGGCCCAGTATAAAAGCCCGGTCAAAACAACTTAAAATGGGGGAGTACGCCCCTCACCCCGCAGTCGGCGGCCACTTCGGAGTTCGGAACGGGATCAGCCGCTTCCAACCACAGTGCTCAGAACACACTAACGATTGTTGGACTTACAGGTGTCGCAAGGTGAGCAAGACTGAAACCCAGATTCCGAGCACTTACCCACTAGAAGACTGTTATCTTTTTCCGTCCCGAGGGGTACGCGGGTATCGAACCCACAACCCCGAGTGCCGAATCCAATCGTCAGTAGCAGCAACCCTGCCACCAAAGCTACCAAGCCAACGGAGGCCAGTCGTGTTCCAATTCTACTTGAACTTCAGGTCGGCCCTGAGCCAGGCACCAGGCAACTCCCACGGCCCGCTTTCGCCGTGAGTCGAACCCCGGTCCATGTAGAGCCGAGTCACATGCCACCTTCGACGCAGTTTAACCACTACGCCGTCGAAACTCCACGGGGGGGGGGGGTCGTGGTGAAATGACGGGTTTGAAGTCCATTTGACATTTGGTCGTCTAAAAAAAATCATATCGCCGGCGATTCGAACCACCGACCTCTCACGCCCTGAGCGGGCGCACTACCGACTTTTTTAAAAACATATTTATTAACAAGAAAAATACAATAGATGTTGATATTGTACATAGTACAGTAGTGAAAATAATAAAACAAAAAAACTGTTTACCGGGTGTGGTATTGAACCCATGCCATGGAGGCCAGATGCGACATGACGCTCCAGGGAACGACCAATCCTACGCTGTCGCTCACTGCTGAAAAAATTTAAGTGCGAAGAAATATTTTTTTGTTTCCACAACATATAGTACAAATGCTGGGAACAACATATCAAAAGATGGCGATAACTTTTTGGGGGTTCCTTTAGTGAGAGGTCAGGGTCAGACGGGACTTGGTCCTTGGTCGCTGTGGCCCAAAGTGTCGCTCTCCCTCCTCCCCACCCCCACGCATCCCGCCGCGTCAGACAACGTAAACAAGCAGTGGGCGTCTTCTGCAACTCTTTACCGATAATTCCTACCCAAATTTGTGATAAGATTCTAATCAGAATTCTAGGGTGGAAAGCGTCGTTTTCTGATTTTAATCGCAAGGTATAGTAGTGCTTGATGGTTTCCGGAAAATTAATTGTTCTGTTCCGGTCATTGTAGGAGGTTAGTTGTGCTCCAGTTATACACTTTATACACTTATTATTAGTTGTAATATATTTTTGGAGACACAATAGATGATGCCTGTTATTGAAACTTGGCTCACTGTAAGCTTTGTTGAAACGTTGTTGAACAACTTGCACATTTTAGATTGGACGTACAGTGCAGTTATGCTGGTTTTGCTACCAGGGTATTTTATATCATATGATTTTACTCTGTATTATTCTTTGTGGAACAGCAAAATGTATTAAGTCAGGTTAGGGTGTAGGCTTTGATAGTCAACTGAGGGCTTCAGCGCTATTTTTGTAATCCCTTAAACAATCAAACAATCAATGTGTGTTGCAGCTCATTTATTATTTATTTATTTTTATTTGTAATGTAGCTTTGACAGAGCTTTACAAGTTGATATACATGATAGAATGTACTATTTGAATTTGGTAAAACCATTGTTAAACTATTGAGTAGGCCTTCATTTGCTAGTAAACACCTCTTGAGCACAGCTTACTGCTATCTTTTTTCATTTTTCATATTCTTGATTTCCTGAGGGAGGTAGTTGAATATTCTGCTCCCAACATGGATTCCTTTATCGAATTCACCATGGCATTTCTTTCTACGGAAGTCTTTTTTTCTCTCAGAAAGAAATACCGTGGTGAAACGAGTTACCATAGTAGGAGTAAAATTATACGTACTTAATAGTTGACAATTGTTGAGTAATAAATGAAGCCAAACATAGCACTAAAAGTGCCATTTAATATGATTGCAGGAACATAGGGCCCAGAAATGTTCTTGATATGTGGAAAGAAGTCTATGGAGTCATCTTACCTGAAATTATAAGTGAGTTGACAATAACCAATGCTGGTCCACTTTGTCTCTGTTCGAACTCTATGAGAAGCTCCCTTTGGGTTCAGTGTGCATCAAAGTTCAGTTTATAATGGTTTTTGTGTTGCCTTGGTTCTTTCCTGACAATTTTAATCATCCCCCGTCAAAATCCAGGCTGGAATTGGTTTGGATTGGTCGGGCAGACTCCCCTTTCACTTGCTCTGTGTAAATGTCATGGAGCCAACCCACTACAGCAGAGTTCTTTTCCTGTTACTTTAGCTTGTGCGCCTTAGGTAGACAACCCGTCCATAGTTCGAAAGACCACCACTTTAAACTCAAGTTTCTGTGGACAGAGGTGTTTCTGACGGAACGAAAGGTAGTTTTGTGGTCCCAAACTGGGAATTTCGATTCTAATACTCCTCTGTCAAAACCGGGACCCATCGATTTTCGCTAAAAACACAGAAAGGCCTTTGTAAAGTTTGCCAAAAACGAAAACATTTAAAATCGCTGGAAATGTCCGGGATTGGTTTGACAGCATCCTCTTTCAATCCCCCCGTCGGAATTTTAAGCCTTCGGGCCATTTCAAGTGAGTTTTTCTTGGAGCAGTTCGCCTGCGAGGTAGGCAGCCCATCGTACGCTGCCCGCCAGATTCAAAAGACCACCCTCTTAAAACTCAAGTTTCTCTGGACAGGGGTGGTTTCTGGTGGAATCAAAAGTAGTTTTGTGGCCCCCTGGTTCACCCCTGTCCATTCGACTACTTTTCCGTCGAAATCCGGACCCATCAATTTTCGCTAAAAACTGAAAATTTGAAAATCGCTGGAAATGGTTGGGATTGCTCTGGGAGAGTCGCCTTTGATCTCCTCTGTCGAAATTGCCTGCTTCCTGACTCCTTTACAGTCAGACCACTGTCAGACACATCAATTGCCACTAAAAGAATAAATGCTATTTGCCTTCGTAAATTTGCCCGAAAATGACAAAAATTAAAATCGCTGGAAATAGTTGGGATTGGTCAGACTGAATCCTTTTTCAATCTCTGCGTCAAAGTTTCACACCGCCGGGCCATATTTTAAGTGAGATACGCCTGTTTTTGGACCGGTTTGCCTCCGAGGTAGGCAGCCCATCGTACGCTGACCGCCAGATTCAAAAGACCACCCCTTAAAACTCAAGTTTCTCTGGACAGGGGTGGTTTCTGGCGGAACC